GTTTGCAGTGGCCAACCCATAACTTGTAGATTGGGTGGATAGGTAGGTATGTTTTTTATTTAAATAAAACAATTATTAGATTTCAGGCTTTTGCTTGTAACAAATCAAAGGGATTTTCATAGGATTACTAAACATAAATAAATTCCACTTATTTTAAGTCCCAAATTGATAAAAACAAAAATCAAATATTCTGAAAACTTGAAACTTACAAAAAATAAAATTATTTTTAAAAATATATTGCTGAAAAAAAGTTTTGGTTAGGTTGATAGGAAACTGCAAACAAACAATTTTCTATTTAAGGCCTTGCCTTTCAGTATTAACTTTTTTTCTCCAGCTATGACTTCTCTCCAACTATCTATTGTCTTCTTACTTACTTCATTTGATCTGAACAGTTGAGCGCTGTATTGTCTAGAAATTGCCTCACTACCCGCTAATAAACTAGAAAGTTAAAAAAATACGTTCAGTTTTCTAGTAGAAGTTGTTGAGAATCATACATAGGGAATTTATTCATATTGTTTACCAGGAATTTTCATTGGTCTGTTTGGACTAATTATCCACATTTTTTATTAGTCTGTATGAAAATGTGTTAGTCTGAGACTAACAAACTAACGTTAAGGTCAAACCCTGCTATATATAGTAGTGTATCAGCCCTGTTACAAAAGCATTGGACTAGGAGAGACAGCATCTGGGAACTGGGGCTGTCTCACCCTTAGGGCAGAGATATCTCTGTCTTGGCCCATTGTCAAGGGACTGTCTTTCCCTCAAATTTCAATCCATTATTTCTGTTTTATTTGTGAATTATGAGGAAAATTTGTATTAAAGTTGGTAAATGAATATATCTTGTACAATAATATTAGATATGAGTCTTTAAAAATTGTTTATATATGCTAAAATATTGAGAAAAATTTTTTTAAAATGTGTGTCAAATGATGGTACTTGTGATGTAAGAGAGGTAACTCTTGTTTACAGAGAATATCATCACATGTTTAGAAAAGAAATGGATGTTTATTTGCTTTGACAGTAAGCCAATACCAAGTTTTCTCTTTATGGGTCATTTTTTAGTTTAAAATATATCATACACAAAACAAACATTTAAAATAAATCTTAGACCTGTGATGATTTTTTAACAAGCTTTTGTGTGCTTAAAATATTTGTCTTTCTTTTCAAAGAAATCCAATTTATTATAGCCCCTGCTTAAAAAGGGGGGAGGGATATATAGTGATGGGGGTATCTGTATGTCTGTAACACTTGGGGGTAACAATCTTTTATCCACAACTTCTCTTATTCCACTGAATCAAATTTTAATGAGACTTTCAGAGTGTCTTTATTACATAGTGTCATTTAGCACCAATTTTATTTTTCATTGGTAGAATTTTTGGGTTTCCTATGGCAAAACATGTACACTGCCATTCTTTCTATAACGTTTGAGGGGGGGGGGGGGGGTACCTATCTCTTATCCACAACTCGTCCTATACCACTGAAAAAAAAATTTCACAGAATCTTTATTACATAGTGCCATTGTACACTTCCTATTTCATTTTGATCAGACAGATATTTGGGGTTTGCCATAGCACAACATGGACACTGCCAATGTCTGCCATTCTTCCATAACATGTGTATACCCATCTCTTATATCTTCAACTTCTTTCTATGCCACTGAATAAAATTTAATGAAACTTTCACAGAATCTTTATTACATTATGTACATGGTGCAATTGTGCACCTTCTGTTTTTTGGTTTTGATCGGACAAATATTTGGGGTTTCTTATTGCAAAACCTGGACTCTTCTGTCTATAATATTGGAGGTACCCCATCTCTTATCATCAACTCGTCATAAACCACTGAATAAATTTAATTAGACTTTCACAGAATCCTTTTTGCATAGAGCCATTATGCACCTTCTATTTTATGTTCTGATTGGACAGATATTTGAGGTTTCCCATTGCAAAAAACTGACTTTGCTATTATATTATTGGGGGGAGGGTTTATCATTTTTTGAGCTCGGTGCTCACAGTACCTCTAGTTTTAATTTAAATCTTTCTCCAGAACTGGAAATAGGACTAGGTTCTTTCGAATCTTTGTAGCCATTACTAGAATGGGCCACAATAGGGGGTCAATGTTTCACAGAAAAATATAGGGGAGAAAATCTTTTAAAATCCTATGAAAAACTGCAGTCATAATTCTATGTCAGCATTCCCAGTTAGTGTAAATTCAAGTTTAGTCAAGTCATTGTCTCTGCGGTTAGGAGGTTAGGACCACAGTGGAGGTCAAAGGGGTACAGAGAAATGCTTTTTAATGTATGAAAAGCAGTAGTGCAGCTTTTATTTCTGTTAATATACACCATTCCCTTATAGTGTAGTTTTTTAGTGAAGTTAATGCCCTAGGGACAAGGGTATGGCCACAATAAGTGATAAAAAATTTAATGGAACTAAGTAAAGAAAAAATCTCTTTTGAAACATTAAGAACAGCAGGACCAAGGGTTCTCAGGTGAGCATTGTGGCCCAAGGACATTTTGTTTAACATCTGCATAAATTATATTCTATTAAGAAAAAAAAAAATCTTAGAAAGAGATAGATTAATTTTCCTTTGAATTAACCTTAACTAAACTTAACTAAGATTTTGCCGCTATTGTGAATGGGAGGCAATTCCTACAATTTGATATCTCTTCCTCCACAGATAATAAAAACTGCTGAGGCCAGAAATTCCTGGAAGGTAAAATTAAACTCTTATCTTTCAAATCTTTTTCACATGAACAGGAAAAATACATAGACAAACATGTACATAGAATCACATTCCAGAGATATCAGTGACTGCATTTTATACCCACTCAAAAAGTAGAAGGATAATTCATGGATTTTTGTACCCTCTCAAACCGGAACGATAATTCGTTTTTCTTACTTATGAAAGATAGGAGAATGATTTATTGGTATTGTGCAAGCAATATTGTAATGATCAAATTTCCCCTCATTTTGTCTTCATTTATATGCCTATAGATATTCATAGAGGGGGGAAAAAAATCAATCAGAATGCATATACCAAAGAAGACTACAGACTGTCAGGAATTGCTGAATCAGCTGATTTTGATAGTTCGCCAGCTGACTGGCAGCCAGACGTGTGCGGCATTAGTGAATAATTGTTTGTTTGATGTAACCATAGCTTGGTATGTGAAGGTGAAGTCAATGCTTTAACATCAAGCCTCAGTGAGTGAACCGTATGCTAGTGACAGCTAATTGTGTGTGGTTCTGGGGGATACATAGTGCTGTGTACCCCTTCTAGTCTTGACAGTCTAAGTAGACAAAATTCTTTTTCAAATTTCACCATTACTTAAATCTATTGCTTAGGATATAATTCTGCTGACATAGCATAAGGATCATTTTTTTTGAGTGAATTTAAAGGTATGACAGGTCAGGCCATTGTGACGAACTAGAACACTTGGGGTATAAGAGGTACTTGTAACACAAAATTAAATCTTTTCGCAATTCTTCACCGGTTAATTATCTAACTTCTTTCTTATTTTATTTAGACTGCCCCTGTAATCTATGGTTACCACCCAGTTGATTTTAATGTCCATTGAATGTATTGAGTTATTATATGATAACTACAGGATGTGATAAAAGAATGGAATGTAACAATGATGTGAATGATATGATCATACCCGTGTTTGTTTGGTTTGTTCATCAGTACTAATTAGTATAGGAAACAAGTAAGCTAGAGAGAAATCAGATGATCCAGCTTAAATTGAAGAAAACGGAAGTATTCTTGATAGGAGGTCAGGCAGAGTTTACATATTTCAAATGTTTTGATAGAAAAGTAAACTCTTTGTCTCTGCATGGTGTCTTTTGTAATGTCAGCTTTTCGCCAAAAAATTCTATGATGTCAGCAGGTTTGCAGGATGCAGGCATTGTATGTTCTAGAACATCGATATTCTAAATTATGCAATCTGTACTCTAAAAACAGAGATGTCCGTGTTTTTGGTATTTTAATTACTGCTTTTCATTTGAATATACGTGAGTTTAGGAATTATGTAGTGTAGCGTATTGTGTTTCACATTTGTGAAGAATGGTTTCATAAATGGCAGTACTGTTAAAACTTCACATGATATTAGAGAATAAAATGCCTGATTGGGCTGAAGGGCTTATTCAATTTTCAAGTACATTTTTCAACGAAGAAAACTTTTTTTTCAGTCTGGTTGTTATATTTTTTGTGTGTGTGTGTCATAAAAGAGAAAAGAAAATCTTTTCATCTTTAATATTATTAAATGTTACAAAACACATTGATTTACAAGCCCATGCAGATTACTGACTCTGCAAAAAAAAGTTGCACCCACGTGCACTATAGGGAATAAACAAGTTCCTTATTAATTTGAGGCAAAATACTTGCAGGCTTTTCTGCTTGGATGGGTCTATGCTATTCAGAAATCATGTAGACTAAGCTCCTTATGAACTTTTGATATTAACTATATGCGCAAATGTCTGACGTGCTACCATCCTGACGAGATAAAACTGAAACAATCAATATACCCAAAGTCGGCAGGCAAGAAAATGTTGTTAAGGCTTTCTGAATTATGAGGTCTAGCCATTGTGTTACCCTGTATATACATTTGTGGCTTGGGTCCCAGCTGTAATCGGTTGACCTTGCTTTCACAACTATTGGAGAAAAAAGAAAGGCAGGGTTGTCCTCAAATGAACTTAATGAGTCTGTACCACAAGTGAATGTCTGATGCTGACATTTATGTTTCTATATGTGAGAATTGTCTCATTATTATCTTGATATTTTTCCTTATGTTCAAATTTAGAAAAAAAAAAAAAGTTGGTATTTTTCCTTGTGTTCAAATTTAGAAAAAAAAAAAATGATTTTCAGAATTTCAAATTACTGAACCAACCAAAATTAGAATTTCAGAAATCAGCAGCAAATTTTATTTGAATTCTTTGGTTAAAATTTGAAAATTTATGTGTGAAAAAGACAAGTTATTGCAGTCCTCTATTTTTTTCTTCTGTCAGGTATGTTGAGGAGAAGGTGCAGAGAACGGGTGTTGCTATTGAGACTCAGGGCTTCTCCATTGTAACCAGTGGTAGAAAGAGAGAGTCATTAACTGTGAGTATAAATTATGTAAAATGCTTTTTTTTCTCCCTCTTCCTACTTAAAGTAAAAAATGTTAAATGAATCAAATAATCACTTTTTGGTTTTTGGTGAAGTATCAGAATTATTCTCAGGAATAATGAGTGAACTTAAGATTTATACCTATGAAGTCATGGGGAAAATAGATTGGTTATTATTCTAAAGGTCAAAGTGTCACTATTAATACCAAGTTGTCTCAATTTCAAAAATAAAGTTGGAGGTCATGGAAGTTTTACTTAGATTGTTTTGGATGTATGATTTTAGTTAGGTTATAAGAGGAAGATTTTTTTCTTAAGTTTGATCAACAGAGCTGATTCAAAATAAGTTTCTGCTGTATGTTTGTCAAGCTGTTTCTCTGCCTGCCTGTAATTCAAAACTTCTTCTATTGTATGGTACATCAGCTTAATTATAAAAAAAGTTCACAAGAAGACCTTTCCAAGATAAAATATTATATTTGTATAGTTTTTGTTTTGTTTTGTTTTTTTGAATTTCAAAAAAAGGTGTTGCAATATGGTAAGTAAAAATAGAAATTTCGTCGAAATTATTTTTAAACTCTACTATAGTCTTTGCCTTATTCAATAAAATTTGGTATGCAAGTAGAGTACACCAAAATATATATACTGAAATGCAAAAGAAATGCAACATCCTATTTTAGGGGTAAATATTAAATATAGGATAAAATTTTGTATCTAAAAAGTAAGGACATCTTCAATTTTGTAAATATCGGTAATTTAACGGTTGAATGATTTTCATACCATTACCGGAAGTTAAGCTTGAGTCCGCTTACCAGAAATCAAAAATTGCATGTTTAACAAAATATTTGGCAATAATATGGGGTTTTAAGAGTTTGTATCTGTTCATCATAAGTAATGAAGCAATGTTACGAAAAATAAATTCTCCTTTCTTTTCCGTAAGCGATGCCAAGGCTTCCTAAAAATGACTTAAGTACGCATTTCCATTGCTCTAGCTGGAAAATCTCAAAATAAAGGTAAGGGAGAGTTGCAGCTGCAAGTATGCAACACATCATGCCTCAACAGGTTCTTACGTATCATTAGCATGAATGACAGTCCTTGGACCGGAAGTCCAAGGGTTATTACACTGCACTTGGCTAGAGAAAATTCGACCTCATCATCTGAAAAACAGGCATTTAAAAATGGCAAAGAATATTTCTTTCGCTCAGATCTCGAGATTGATGAACTTACTGCATTGTAGAAATCAAGCTGCAACAGTTGTACATGGCATTCTTGCACGCTGTAATTGAATGGCCGGGGTGGGGGGTGTTTTAACATTCATGTATTACTTTCTAAAGTTAAAAAATTATAATTTAACATTTTTATCAAATCTCTGATGTTTATAAATCGAGTTTTACCTTACTGTATTCATTTTTGAAAATCATTTGATAAAGAATTTAAATATTTGTAGATTACTGCTTGTTGCATTTCTTTTGCGTTTCAGTATAGTTCTCTAAGTGTAAGAAGTGCAGATGCAACTTTTCTTGTATGAGCCAGAAGAGATACAGTCTCATCAGAGACTATTGGTTAAATCAGCTTTACCCTAAGACATTACAAAATTGATCTGTTGTGCAAAGTGCATAATTTGGTTGATATGTGAAAATAAGGAGAAAAATATTGTTTCCTTAATAAGGTAAAAGGCAGATGCCAAAGCCTCAACCTTGGGTTAATCAGTGCTTTATCTGTTATGAATTACTATTATTTTCCTCAACTTATTTACCTCAATGTGAAAAATATTTTGCTGATACATTTATGATGTTGGACAGGAAATTGCAAAATTAGAAATTTTGTTGGTGTGTTTTAAGGGAGGAGTCTTTTAGAAAGTGTTGCATTATCCTGATGTTTGTGAATAGTTTTCAATATTCAGAAGTCAGGTGTCTATTGATTTCATAGATTTGCATTGAAAAAAATTTTGCTCAAAAAACCCCTTATTTCTGGATTTATCACATGAAAAGATATTTCTGAATGATTAATTTCTTAGAAAGGATCAAACAAAGATATTGGATAAAGGCATGAAGTTAACAGTCTACAACAAATGAAAAAAAAATTATATGGGATGTCAGAATCCCTCAGACAGGTGATTTGAATAATCTAGGGCTTAATAGTCAACTAACCGGTGCAAATTTCTGTATGAAATGTTCAAGATTCTTGTAATTGAATTGTAAAAGTGAGGTTTTAGGACAAAATCATGTTCTCTGAGTGTCGTGAATACAAAAGCTAATTTCTATTTTGCTGATTTTTTATTCTCCCAGAAAATGAATGCAGAGATCTTCTTTTTTTAATTTTAATGCATTATATGAATTGAAATTTGATTTAAAAATTCAAAATATGATTTAATTTTGATGAAGCAACCTAATGCTGTTTCAATCTTTTGCCATATGTTTTCACCTGAATTTATATTATTTTTACAGAAGGGCAAACTGGGTGTAGATTTCTTAAACAGGAGAAAAAATTCTTCCTTCATCCTGTTTTAATCATTCCATATGAAAACTCTATAAATTATGCACATGTATCTTCAGAAATGCAATAAGTAAATGTTTCTGTTTCGGGCAATGGTAATTCCAGCCCAGTTCAAAATTACCTTTTTATTATAAGAAGGTTTTTTTTTTTAACTCAGTGATCTGCAGTAGATTGATCTGGTAATGGACACCTCATAGATCAGATCCATTGATTACATACCATTATAACTGCTTGAATTTACTGAATACTGAAAAACTGTCTATTGCATTCAAGATGTTTCAAAATTTTTATAATTTGCTGTTTAGGGAAGAATTTTTATTCAAATAAATGAGTAGGAAACATGGTTTCAAGTTTTTACCGGTTAATAATGATGCAGATACATGACATGTAAAATCACTGTTCACCTAATCGTACTTCCAGAAAATTCTGTTAAATTATTTAAATTATCTGGAGATGTTACATAACTGAAAATAGATACACTGACGTATGGTGTAAAAAGGAAAGTATAATTTTTTAATGCTCAAATGTTGTTCTAATGAACTGTAGAATGTTCAGTAAGTTTGCGGTTTATCTCTATAGACACTGTACTTTAATTTGCTTTCTAAAAAAATTGGCAGTTTTAAGTTATATTGTTCTTGAAGAGAACAATATTGTAGTGTGCCTTTTTAGAAAGAAAACATAAAAACGTGTACATAAAACATAAAATCTGCTGAATTAGAGGTATTTCTTAATTATATTTCATGTCAGTAACATGTTTGAGTACATTACAGTCTGGTTTTACATATTCCTTACATTATTTGTATAAAAAATGCCATTCTCTGATTCATGGTTGGTTCAAGTGATTAAAATAATACTTTAAATCCTGTACTAAAGCAAGGGCAAATTGCAAGAAAGGAGGATCATTTCATTTTGTCCAGGGCCTTCAGGACAAGTGTTAAAAATTTCATGCAGGAAAAGTCAGTGGTAATTTTAGGTTCCCCTTGATATTTGGTTTTATTAGAATAACAATTTCTTTATTTTTGAAATGGAGAGAGTAAAGATTTTGTAATCTGCTACTGTACAGGTTTGTAACCCCAAGAATTAAAGTTCAGTTCTAGGCTAAAGTCTGGTTTTCAGCTGTGCGAGTCCTACATTTGCCAGAAACATAAGGGTGTAGAGTTGAGCTGCATATTGTTAGATAAGGTTTGTTGATTGAAACCTTTGGCTCAGGTTAAAGATATGACAATTGAACCCAATCTTGTACACTAGTTTAATATCTTTAAATATTGTATATTATTTTAAACTTCCCATTTGATGATGTCATCAATAATGATCAGTTTTGTGAAAGCCAACATTTACTAAGCTATTATCCATGGATAATGGAAAAGTGAAAATATGATTTCCTTGTGTACGTGTATAAAAAGATAGTATTTTAGACTTTGCTCATACTTCTTGACTCAAATCAATTGTCATCATTTGCATTGGTACTGTCACAAGGTCAAGGTCAAAAGTGATTTTTCTTGTCCTTGAAACTAAAAATGTTAGTTTATAAACATCCAAGTCAAAGAAGTAGGATGATTAAATTCAGCTTAAATGGGTCATCCAGATGATAGTACAAGATATTTAGGGCATTGGGACATCAAATGTCAGTCTGACACTCTCTTCTGATTTATTGAGTGTACACTTCACATAGGTATTATAAAAAAGAATTATTGAAACTGGGGGTGATATATTGTTATAATTAATTCATCAGTAGTGGTTTTACACATTTTAAAAATAAGAAAGTTATGATTGTCTTACTGCAGCTCAATAGGTTATGTAGGCGGACCAAAGTGGAGGATGCTTAAAATGTGCTGAATTTGCTATATTACAAGATAGCACGGCTGTGACTATGGATTTTTACTGAAGTTATGGTTCTAGTGTAATGGGCGTTATGGAAGTATGTTCTATTATAGATGATAAATGATCCTGGAAGCTTTCTTGAGGAATTTAAAAAAAAAAATGTGTTTGAATCAGCAAAGTTATCAATGAATTCATTTTTTTAATTAATATTGCATCCTATTTCATTTACATTTTAAAATCAATATAGTATACATTGAATACAATCTTTTCTGAAAACTCAGGACTTGAAATTCTGATGTTCATAGTACTGGGGCCCTTAATGAAATGATTTAAAGTTAGCCTGGCAATATGCCTGTATTTGGACAATGTCATGGTCTGAACTTGCATTGACCAGTATAGATCCTGTTTTACAGGGCAGCAGTTTGAAATGTTACTGACCTCTTACGGACACGATAATAGCCATAGCTTTAAGATGAAAATTCATGCATAGAATGCTTTGCACCCAAGGAAGAAGTAAAAATATATGATTTAGCTTATAGATTGATACATATTTATTTATTTCTCACAGATTTTCTGTATTAAAATGAAAACTTTTTTATGCTATTGATTTTATGTTTTGACTATATCATTAAAGATACATTCAAATTGTACCATTTTTATTAGCATAGTATTATACTCCAATGTACCTGTGATGCATATGTGATGACCGGATCTGCAGTAAGGGGGATAACTCTATGTTCAGCTGTCCATTTATATCCCGACATTGATTAATAATGCAATAAGGGGGATAACTCTATGTTCTATTGGCCGTCTAACTGATTTTCATTATAAAGCCTGATATTGATTGGTAATGCAGTAGACGTCTGCATTTTTAAGTTGCACTCTATGATGTTTTATCATGCTACTATTCCGCAGGCCTTCTGTTGTGCAGGATTAACGTAGATTAGCTAGGTTTGTAAGCTATTACACTTTTACCTCTTGTTGAATTTTTTTCAAAGCTCAGGAATTTAAAAAAAAAAAAAACAATAAAATAATTCAGATTGATTTGGGCATTTTGTACTTTATGAATTTATCTTCTTTACTGGCACATTGAATTTTAATCTTGAAGTGGTGCAAGAACCGAATTGGGGAGTGTTCATTCTTCGATGGTTAAGGTACATCTTTTGTTTGTTCCATACACATTTAAGGTTTTAAGGGTGTGTCCTTTATAAACTTGGCAAAGCTTTTAGTTATTTGGATTTTTTCCATAGGTACTAAGAAAATATTTAGCTTGCACATAACAGGTAAAGTTATTTTATTTAATTTCATTGAATTGTCACAAATGTGTTTAAAATATGCACATCCAATGAAATAAATGTTTTCTGAAGGAGATATATCTGTACATGTAAATGCTTAAAAAAAAGGACAGGTTGTTACTTTAGAATTTTTATTGACTTAATTTTTTTTTAAAAAAAAAGACAAAACTTTGTGTTTGTTTGCCTATGTTTAGGTTCAGCAGGTACAGGTATGTAGGTATGTATGAATCACGTTGCTATTTGCCAAAAGGATGGGTTCAAATACAGGAATGTTAGCAAATTACACCAAAACACTCCAGTGCAATTACACACATCATATTGCATCGAGAGTGTTTAATTTAGAAGAAAATTGATCAAGTATTGCCGGTTTTTAGCAAAATTTTGCAATGTACATTTTGGATGCAAAGAGAAGTTTGAATTTAAATGTGTTCAGACTAGGGGTTGTTGACAGCTCGCCATGCCGATGATAATGCTTAGTCACTATCAGCTGATTACCAGGATTTTGGACAGTTTTGGAGTGCGTAGAATATTAAAGCTTCCACTTTGTGCAATGGATGCAAGGAGAGGGGGTCATGATACATTTATTTAAAGAAAATAAAGGGAACATTTTTGGAAAGGAATTTAAGTTTAATATTGTAAGAGTAGGATTGAAGTTCAAGGTCAGATCACACGGGGCCAGAGAATGTATTTGGTTTACATGTAATTGTTGCCAAGTCCTGTTAAATAACACAGTGTTTGGCTCTTGAATAACACTGCATGGAAGTTCATGAGTGTACATATTTTTTGACCTGTCTCCTCTTATGTTTATCTTAATCTGACAAATGTTGATCATTTAAATTGCCATCAAGAATTTTTATTCAGGTTTTTGACCCCCTGTTTTTTATTTACTTCCAGGGAAATGCCACACTCCACCTTTACCCCCATTTTGAGCCCCTTAGGCAGATTAAAGGTAAGGATATGACAGTCAAAGTCTATATCATTTTATTGATGTAGATTGGCCATTTTCAGTTTCAGATTGATTTAGCCAATCACAGAACAAAAGGAAGTTTGAATTGAACTTCCTTTCTGAGGAATGTCTATTTTTGGATATTACTTAATCAAAGTCTGCATGGTTTTTAAACTCAAAATTATACTTGCTTCATTGAATTATATGGTTCATGAAAGTGTACTTTGAATCTTTTCTGTTGTAATTTATTAACATAAATGAGACTTTTTTGAGAAATAGGTTATAATTTTCTTTAAATAAAATTTCTGATTTGTTAGATCCACTAAATCTTAGACTTTGGATTAAAAAGTAAGTTAAGAATCTCTTCTTAAGAACAATCTTGAACAAAATTTCAATACTTATAATGATTTCTTTTAAATGATTATTTTTTGTGAGTGAAATTCCTCCCTGTAGTAGCTTCCCTTACCAAAATGAAATGTTTGCTGCAAGTTTGCGGCAAGTTTGCAGCAAGTTTGCTGCAAACAAATCTATGTACCAGAACAGTATGCCAGAAGTGTGCAGTAAATGCAGCTAGCAGCACACAGTATGCCACTTGTGGTTCATTGTGTGCTGCTAGGGGCACATTATGTATTTCTAGCGGCACATTAATGATCTGATGCACATGTGTGCCAGAAGTACGCCACAATTTTTCCTTAGATTCCTTTTATTTAAATAGTGTGCCAGAAGTGTACCAGAAATGTTTCTTTTAACTTTTAAAATGATTGTGTACCAAAAGTGTGCCATAAAGATTTCTTAATATCCATTACTTAACCTGTACAAAATTCAGAGGCATATAAAATGCATGCATTTTTTGCAAATCATGGTATACAAGAGACATGTATTTTAATGAAAAAAATGTTCATTTTAGGCATGCACATATTTTTGTCAGGAATATATCTCCTCTTCTCCTGGTGTAAAATTCAAATCTGTGCATATTTTTTACTTAGTCTCTTTCACACAGGGAAATAAATCTAGAAAATTGCAGAAGGCGTATATAATTTTGTAAATCCTTAGGTAGACTTTCTGATTAAGTCCATTTTGGTGAGATAGTGAAAATTTTTATTTCGTCAACTTCTCTTTTAAGTACTTAGTAGCATATATTATAAGACACATTTTTGTGATAAACTGTCAAAAATTTATTTATTCCATGTGTAATAAACATTGATTATTTTTTCGCCTTTGTTGTTTCTATAGAACTGTACATTATAAATGCATGTACACATTTATGCAGAAGTGTTTTTCATCTTATAGTAATACACCAGTGGTACTAATAAACACTTATCAACTACCGGTAATTAATTAATTTGTACTTTTTCCCAACTTGTAAATTTTCCCAAGCATTGTATTTGTAATACAGATCATGATACCTGTACTTAATTTCAGAGGCATTTTTTTTTAATTTTTAGATTAAAAAAAATCTAATTGTCTACATTTCAAATACAAGTGTATTATAAGTGTTTAAAAAATAAAAGCAATTAACATAAGTAAATTATACCGATTAAATTAACCATGCAAACATTGAAGCCCTTATAGTTTTAACAAAGCACTGGTTGTTGCTAAAAATAACTGTCTCTCTTAGAAAACAAATTATTAGATGATATATACTTTCACTTCCCTAGGGCTAATTACTTGCAGATGTTCTTAGCAAACAATGTTTAGGAACGACTTGTCTTAAGTGTTATAGACCTTTCTAAGAACGGCTTATCAGTTTACGTCTGTTCTATTATCCACCCTAATCTTTAAAATAGGAGTAATTCGTATAGTTAATTCTTCTTGTGTAATCTTAAGTGATTTTTTATCATTATATTCTATAACAATAAAGAATTCCTTTTTAATCAAATTTACACATTCTACTGATTAGATCTTTCAGAAATATAAAACCGTTTAGGTAACTAGGGGGTTTTAAACAACAGCATTATTTACATCGGAATGTTTGCGCCAAATTTAAACCACCAGGTCATGGCATGAACAAAGAGAAAGGAGAAAGCGGCAACAATACTTGGATGAAGAAAAGAGGTGATTATTTTGAAATACATTGCATAACACTGAGTTCTTTTTTACATAAGAAAAAAATAAGACTTGGCTGCATTTGCAGAGCCAGTTGTTAGTATATCCCTGTTCATATCGAAATGGGTCAGTATATTTTTATGTTTTGTTTTATCCAGATGGATTTATATTTAAATCCGTATGATGAATCAGTAAGCACTCCACTTAGAATAGATAAATGATGAGAATTCGGGATTGGATGGAATGAAGAACCTGCAGTCGGCGATATGTCTTGCTCCATATTCAGACGGGCATTTATCAGGAAAAGATTCTGCTAGCTGAGAACATGGACTAAAAGTAATTGTGTTAGTAAATAAATCACAGTTAATCATTGGGTCCATATTTAAATGTTTATGTCACAAAATACACAGAATTCTTTGTAATGTATCAGAGAAGCATGTGGTTTTTAAAATAATGCAATTGTTGTATTTGAATCCTTGTTTGTCAATCTGTCCTAGATAACAGGTCCAGTACAATCAGTGCATTTAGCTACGTAGCTAGAATTACCTACCATAACTTTATTTAGCTACCTTAGGTAGCTTTATTTACTTATTTCAAGGCAACTTTTCACAATTTTGCTTTTTAATTTAAAAAGACAAAAAGTCACACAAGTAAATGTCTACTAATATTTATTCCAGGGATTATTTAAAAGGCAGTCCAGAGCAGAGATAGTTTAAACATTGCTGCATTTGAACACTTTTTTTATTTCACTCTGGAAGTAACTGTTTGGTCACAAGTTAACTGTTGTATATAGCCCCAAAACTTTCAGAACTTTGATTGCAATTGTGCAGAAAAAGATATATCTCTAAGAGTGATTTTTTCATGAATTATTTTCAGATGAGATCAAAGTTGAAAATTATTACTGCATCAAAGTGCAATTTTCTGCACTTTCTGAGAAAAATGCTAATTTAAGAAATATGTTTGATTTAGTAGCTAAATAAAGCTACTTCAGGTAGGTAAATAAAGCTATGTAGGTAATTCAAGCTACATAGCTAAATCTAGTGATTGTACCAGACCTGTATAATGCCATGATGTGACACAAAACAAGATACAAATGTGGGGTCACTAGGTCAAAATTAGGTTAAATTCATTGCTTAAATAAATTTTGGTTTCAATGAATGCAATTCAAGTAATTTATCTCTATCTTTTGAACAGATACTTGATGTTGGAAAGGAAGCCCCTCCTAATTATGAGAAGTTAGTTGAAATGAGTGAACTTGAAGTACCAAGAAAGTAGTTAATAAAAATTCCCCGCAAATGCAACAGCTTAGGACACTCTTTCATCATGACATGGATTCTTTAGTGATAGAATCATGGCACTGGAAAAAAATGGCCGCCTTTTACAGTGTAAATAACGTTGTGGGTGAGGATTTGAGTGGCCACTGACCAGGTTGGACAAGTGGCCATTTATTCAGGTTAAATATATAGTATATGTTGTCAGGGGGAATTGAAAGTTACTGCTGGTCATGAGTGGACATTGATTTCAAGTGGCCGCTAAAACAGTTCTGATTGTAATTATACATGCATTGTGCTAGAATAAGAATTGTATAGCATTGCGTATTTAATATTTAAATAAGTTCTCACAGATCACAGTTTGTATATGATTTTTTCCCTCATGATCTTTCTTCTGAGTGTATACAATCAAAAAGGTTGAGGATGAGGAAGTCAGAATTTAACAAGTTTATATTTTAAAATACTCTGTGATTTTAATTCATTTTGTGCAGCACTATTGCATTGATATGTGCAGATGAAATTCATTGTAAGAGGTGAATCTTTTCTTTCTTGTAAAATGTTTAATGGTTGTTGTTAACCAGAAATCCTGTATTCATTTTACAGGACGATCAATTTAAATTTGTGTCATACTCAAGTGATTTCTATGCACCAAAGGTTGTGAATGTATTAATTTATTTTTGTTCTGTTTCTTTCTCTGATGTATACAGTGTAAATGTTCAACGAACAAATTTTGTTCTCGTGCTGTGCAAGTCTTTTTTAAACATTGAGTTTATAGTTAGTGTTATATACCTTTACCTTGAAATTTTCATAAATAATTTTTTAAAATTGCTTGAATGTTCTTTTTTTATTAGCTGTCATGTTTAATTATGTTCTTTTAAAATTAATTTGTTTAAGTAAGGTATGTTAGCTTATGGCATTGTGTATGCCAGTAATGTGCCACAAAAGTGTGCCACAAACTTGCAGTTAACTGTATGCCAGAAATGTGCCACAAGTGTGTGCCGCAAACTGCATAATGTAAGGATTTGAATTGTTTGCCGCAAATGTGCCAGAACTTTGCCGCAAATATGCCGCAAACTGTGTGCCAGAAAAAAATTTGCATACGAAAAATTTACTTGCGGCAAGTTTGCCGCACATATTTGCCGTAAATTTGCAGCAACTGTGTGCCAGAAGGCTTTTATTTTGGTAAGGGTTTAAAGTTTCTCAGATATGGCCGGATCAAGAAACTTAGATTAAAATGATATTTTATTTATGATGGCAGAACCGCATGACTAGGAGGAAGAAAAAATGTTCCTAAGTTGGCTGTTTAGTCTTAATAACCATGACTACAGAAAAGGGAAAAGAAAAAGGAAGCATGTTTCTGTTGAGTTAAAAAGGGCAATACTTTGATTAAAAGTGTACTTAGCAGAGTGATCAATTACTGTCAAAGTGCAAAAATGGCTCATCCTTACTGAAGTTTTTGGTTGGTTTGTTGTTTTGTGTGTATTTTTTTCTCCAGAATAAATTTTAAACCTGGTGTACTTTTTGCGTTGGATTCAATATTTTTGGAAGTTGAAATTTTTGGAATAGAATGTTTGGTTAAAATTTAAAGAATGGATATGGGATAGTATTTACAAACACTCTTGTCTGATGAAGGAAGTTCATTTGTATTTTTTGTCATTAAAAAGGAAAATTTATGTAGTCAAAGGAATGTGCTGATGAACAGACGGCCCTTCACTAGGTAGACTTGAGTAGTTATTACAAGCTGCCTGATGAAGAGCTGTCCTGTTTTAAGGCCAACACAACCAAAATTTCAGACTCTCACCTTCCTAGTCCATGTAGATCTATGGCAAGCATATAATTTACTAACATTTTTTTCTTGAATGTTTACATGTACAGGAAAGTTCTTTCATCCCATTCCTTAACAGGTCATTTCCCTTTGGAAAGGTTACTGACGTCAGCTCAGAGCATACGACCATGATTATCGTCTAATGAAAAATAAATGCTAATTGCAAAATATTTTTCTATGTGAACATTTCAGAGGAAAGTGAATTGCCTTAGCCTACCCTCATCTCTGGGTATAAACATTCTGTGACAAACAAGGCAGGTGACAGTGGTGTTTCAAAAGCAGGGAGGAGGTTGTAACGAGATTGCTCTAGCTGACATGATGAAAATTGTTGTGTGCTGAAGTTGGAGATGCTGACCTTATCAAGAGGTTTTAAACCTGCCTCGGTATTGATCTGTCTGGCATGTTCTCCTCGTCAGCATTTACCCGATCTCTGCAATTCTTAAAGCACACATGCCACTGCAGACCTACAGGCCACTGAAGCTAGTACTTGTGACTCCACTGAAGTCGTCAGTTTATGATTTATCTAGAGTGATGTATTGTACTTTGTCACCATCCTTTGCATGCTGTAAGCATATTGTCTGAATGTCTGATACTGAAATGTCATGTCTTCACTATTTTCTATGGATGCACTGAAAATCAATTATTTTTGTATGAAATCCATTGCAAAGATCACTGTTCTTCAATTTTGTGCAAAGAACACCAGTTTTTAAATGTTTTTTTTTTTATTATTTGTTTGCATGCATATAAGGAATATCAAAGGCCATACTGGAAATCATTTAATATTTGCCTCATATTCACTTTGTCTAGAGGGTCATCTTTGTGTGCACTGGATATTCCACTGTTTGACAAGCTTGGAATGGTAGTTTTTCCTTTGGCCAGCTATCTCGTGCAAATCTGAGCTGAGAGCTGCCAAATGAAGGGCTGTTGTTTCTGCTCACCAAGCAAACTTCAACATATGAATCAGGCTAGTGCATGCGTGAACAAAGTATTGTCACCTGAGTAATGATGTGTCACATCTCATCATGTATAGTCACTATAGTGCACTTTTGTTAGCATGGTAGAATGGCCATATAACAATAGTTTTGGATCATACCTTGAGAGGAGACAAGTGTCAATTTGCTGAAAATAGAGACTTTATTTTATTTTGAATTTAAAAAAAAAGAGAAGAGATCGTGATCTTGAATAATTTAAGTGAAGTATGTTTTACCATGTGATTGGAAGATGAGACAATTGTTATTATCAGTATTTAAACTATGGTATTTGAAAATGAAATGAAACCCTACATCCTTTCATATAAGGTAAAAGATGCGCACTAGAAAAGAGTGATATTATTTCAGATCCATCTCATCTGGAGGTGGTACCTTGTACCGGTAACCAGGTTACCAGATTTAGCTTGGTTCTGGTTGTTTAGATGTATTCTTTGGTTACTCTGATGTTAAGGCATTCATGTCATTCATGTTAACAATACTTCGAATTTGATAGTATGTAATATGTATGTACTGGTTTCTGTCACAGGATCACATTATAACATGTACATGAATAATTGAAGACTTCATAGTATTGTCAGAGCTTGTGATCAATGGACACTTTGGTGACATGTTGTTGGCCCATGATTTCTAAATAATAAAATTATTGACCTTTGCTAGAATGCAGACAAAAATGTCTGAGTGTACATAAGCAAACGCACACAGATGTAGGAGGATAGTGAAATTTTAATGCATGCAGTTTTGTACTTTTGTTGTTGGTGATATGACTGATAATATATGTATAGAGGAAGGGATGGGGAGAGTTTGTTTATAACTGAAGTGAAATTGTATCTGGATTGTATATTGTAATCGCCATGTCCTACCATCAGCATATCTGTAGGCGGTACACAAGGTTAAGCTTTAGCTTTTCAGTCACATTCTTGCTCATCTCGAGGGTTATCTTAATCATAGTTGAAGGTATGGGCATTTTATGGAGATTATAATATATGTACTGACATACTTTTTTGATCCATTGACTGGTCTCTAGTGCAGTAGGTCTATTTCAGCTTTTAAGTCACTTTTTTGACTTATGTTAATATAATATAAGGACTTGCATAATGGAGGGAGGATCTGAACTAATTTTATGCTTCAGTAGCTTCTAATATATGCAAGGCCAGTTCAAAGTTAAGGTCTTTCTTTTTTTTGTTTTGTTCATCTCAAGGACTCTACGAAATGGTCAGCTCAGTGTGATGCATACTATCTGACCTGCATTTTATGCTCAAGTAACTCAAATAATTATTATCCCCCCTCCATTACAAATAAAATTATAGGTTTATAATTGTCATTAAGAATTACCATGTCCGCAGACAATTATTGCATAAATTTTAAATGAGTGAAATTAAGATTTAAGGTAATTAAGGAAAAGGTAAGAGTCAGAAGAGGGGAAGTATGAAATTATTTTTGTGTTGAATTTCAAGGTCAGTGGAAAATAAATATGAAGTTTTTGCTTAAGTCAATTTTAAGCTTGCAACGTAAGGGAAGTGTATGTGTCATAAAGGTGGCTTATGGATTGTATGTGAAATTACTCATTGTACTTTGGTAACCATAAAAATTTATTTGTTTGTTAAGCACATAAAATTATTTAGATATGGTACCTAGGAAACAAATGTAAAAAAAAAAAAAAATGAAATACTTCAAAAAAAAAAAATTTGAGCTACACAGAAGAAATATTTACTTTTTTTTTACCGAAATCAATAAATTGAATAGTAATACTTATTGATTAGATATTTATCAACCTATCTTACATTGATATTATACAACACAATTCTTGTTTAAATTGAATGTTCATTTCGATCTTTGTCAATTTCTGTATGAAAACTTTACAGGTGTCACTGATTACCTGACAACAGAGATTTCCACCTCGAAGCAGAAGCGCTTTAACCTTGTCAAATTTATAGACACACCTGGCTTAGTGGATGGAGACATGCAATATCCATTTGATGTGAACAGAGCCATTCTTTGGCTTGGTAAAAATCTTAATTTGCATCTTTTTCATGTCCTATGATTAACTTGTCAGTATGTTAAACCATTCAGTTACAATGAAGATTCAAAAGGAAAATAAAGCATTTTTCAATAATTCAGTTTGCAAAACCTAACTCTTTGGTTGTGCATGTTCCTTTGATGATGCATAAGAAAAAAAGGACAAAAAATTGCAAGAAACATAATTATGTGTATTTTACATGCAATTTAAAGCAAAACTTCTAGTTTTTAATACATGTATCTGACATTTTTGAATCAAGAAATAGGAACTCTTTTCATCAAGAAATAGGAACTCCTTTCATGTTATCTCAGAATCATACAGGAATATCTTAACAGGAATATTAAGTTTTTTCAATTTTCTTTCCCTCAAACAGGTGAGTTGGCAGACCTGATATTTGTATTCTTTGATCCGATTGGTCAAGCCCTGTGTAAAAGGACATTGAACATTGTGGAAGAGCTGAGCAATAACCATTCTGAGATAATGAGATTTTTTCTCAGCAAAGCAGATGAGGCTGGAGATGAAGGTGATAGACAGGTAGGAATTCTGATGAGTAAGTTAGCATGAAAATTGTTATTTAGTTGAACTTCGTTATCTCAAGCATTTATATCTCAAATACCATGGGTATAACCAACTTAGATGGATGTCCTAACAATTATTAAACCTCAATATTTGGAATCCTTGAATATCTTGGAATTTTTTTTTCTCAAAACTTTTAACTTCAGGAGAACAAGGTTTGAACATATGTCATATATGGTTAGTAGAATAAAATGAAAAACTTTATTCATGATGTTTTCAATCATTTCATGTGACTGATAATAAAAGCATGAAAGGTTGGAGACATATATATACAAATGTAGGTAAAAATTTCTTTTGTTTACCCAAAAACATTCAGTGAAGGGATAGAAATGATTTTGCACTACTTATTTTAATACTTTCATGATGTTTTCAATCATTTCATGTGACTGATAATAAAAGCATGAAAGGTTGAAGACATATATATATGAGTTGCATCAAGCGAAAAGGGACCTTCGTGACAAAATTTTCGAAAATAGGCTTTTGACCGTTTCTGAAAGAGCTAATTTTTCTGAATATTTTGACACCAAATTTTTTATCGTATACCTTTTAAATTCTAATTAAAACTCTAAAACAAAATCAATGCAATGTAACAAGATGACGCTATAAAACGTTGAATAACGTCACAAAACATCATTGATAATTGGAACGTCATTACTAAATCATCCTTTGTATTGATTAGAAATTACTTTTTCTAGATGTTTTTAAAAGTTTTTTTCTTTCAATATCTAAGAACAAATTTTAGTATTTATATGATTGTATACATTGTAAAATAGTGATAATATTAAGGTTGAAGAAAAAAAAATATCTATAATTATGTACATTTATATAGAAGTAATAAAGGTAGTAGTTAATTTTCAAGGAATATATTTCGACATTATCTCACCTTTTTTTCTACATCATCAACATAACCATGCTTCAATCTCTAGAAAATTTTTATTTGAAAGGATCCTTGACAAGGGGACAGACCGCTGACTATACAAAACCAAACAAATTCCTACTCTGAAATCATTTCGCCTTGGCATTCGTAACAACACGGCCATTTTCCTTGGGTTATTATTCACGGAAATGACCGAGTAGTACGATTGCTCGCAAAGGGGTAAATGAATATTTGACATCACTGTTAATGCTCGCAAAGGGGTAAATGAATATCTGACATCACTGTTAATGTAGTGATTGATCCCGGTCAAAGTATTATTTCTCTTTCGCTATAATCACCAAATCCACCTCCACAAAAACAAACCCTTAGGCAGTACTTACATGTATTTTTTATGGAAATGATACAGTTGTACTTCCCTGAACTAATGTTTTTAGGGGTGCTACTTTCAGGTATTGTTATTTTTACTTATCCACACGTCTTTCAAAAAAGGTTGTCCTATGATTTTATTTCAATTGAAAATCATACTGAAATGTGGAAAATCTCCCAATTCAAAATACAGTTGGTTAAACGCGTTTGTTTAATCCCCTCCCCCCTCCCAATGATGTTTCCTGCCTATATGACAGTGATTTAAGACGCTAAAATTAAATTAAATATACCGGTACACACAGTAATTGTGACTTAACTATACATGTATATCAGTAAAAGAATTAAAGTTTTTGTACATTAGGGACGTGGGAAGGGGGGGGGTCTAGTTCGAAAATGAGCCCGGCACTTTGTACTTCGAACAAAGGCAAGTTACAGTCCCTGAAACGTTCTACTTTCCCATTTTTCCGTTCGCTCACCGTTCGTTCAGCGTGCGTTCACCGTTCGCTCTCCGTTCACAGTTTTGCGTTCACGGTTCACCGTGCGCTCGCGTTCACCGTTCACAAAGCGTTCAGCATTCGCTCTTCGCTCCGTTCACTTTGCGTTCACCTTGCGTTCAGCGTTCACCTATCGTTCAGTTTTCATTGTCATTCGGAACTCCGAAGTGAAAGGACTTATCTTTGTGTAGTTAAGGAGTTACAGGTTTTTTAATTTATTAACTAACATATCGTGTTTGAAGAATCATTATTGCATGAGGAAAAATATCTACGATATATATTTTTATTATTCTAACTTAGCTGTTAGGTTATTTATTAAATTACTCTGGAAAATAAATGTTGTTACAATCACATTCTGTACCTATGTAGAGCGATGCTGAAATATTAAATTTAAATAAGGGCAATGTGCAAATACTTCAAGCACTGCAACATTTTGTTGTTTTGTTGAAGACGACAAATCGTTAATGGAGATATAATTATCCAAGTCAAATAATTACGCAGCAAAATTACGAAAATATTTATTTCTAATGCGTTTTTAGCTCACCTGAGCCGAAGGCTCAAGTGAGCTTTTCTGATCACATTTTGTCCGTCGTCCGTCTGTCCGTCTGTCTGTCTGTCTGTCTGTCTGTCCGTCTGTAAACTTTTCACATTTTTGACTTCTTCTCAAGAACCACTGGGCCAATTTTGACCAAACTTGGTACAAAGCATCCTTGGGTGAAGGGGAATTTAAATTGTTAAAATGAAGGGCCAAGTCCCCTCACAAGGGGAGATAATCAAGAGAAGACAAAAATAGGGTGGGGTCATTAAAAAATCTTCTTCTCAAGAACCACAGGGCCAGTAAAGCTGAAACTTATATGGAAGCATCCTGGGGTAGTGTAGATTCTAAATTGTTCAAATCATGACCCCCGGGGGTAGGGCGGGGCCACAATAGGGAATCCAAGTTTTACATTGACATATAGAGGAATAAATCTTTAAAATTCTTCTTCTCAAGAACCACTGGGCCAGAAAAGTTGAAACTTATGTGGAAGCATCCTTGGGTAGTGTAGATTCTAAATTGTTAAAATCATGACCCCCGGGGGTAGGGCGGGGCCACAATAGGGAATCCAAGTTTTACATTGACATATAGAGGAATAAATCTTTAAAAATTTTCTTCTCAAGAACCACTGGACCAGAAAAGCTGAAACTTACATGGAAGCATCCTGGGATAGTGTAGATTCTAAATTATTAAAATCATGACCCCAGGGGATAGGGCGGGGCCACAATAGGGAATCCAAGTTTTACACTGCAATATATAGGAAAAAATCTTTAAAATTCTTCTTCTCAAGAACCACTGGGCCAGAAAAGTTGAAACTTATGTGGAAGCATCCTTGGGTAGTGTAGATTCTAAATTGTAAAAATCATGATCCCCGGGGGTAGGGCGGGGCCACAATAGGGAATCCAAGTTTTACATTGAAATATATAGGAAAAATCTTTAAAAATCTTCTTCTCAAGAACCACTGGGCCAGAAAAGCTGAAACTTATGTGGAAGCATCCTTTGGTAGTGTAGATTCTAAATTGTTCAAATCATGACCCCCGGGGGTAAGGCGGGGCCACAATAGGGAATCCAAGTTTTACATTGAAATATATAGGAAAAATCTTTAAAAATCTTCTTCTCAAGAACCACTGGGCCAGAATAGCTGAAACTTATGTGGAAGCATTCTTTGGTAGTGTAGATTCTAAATTGTTCAAACAGGACCCCCCGGGGTATGGAGGGGCCACAATAGGTATTACAAGGGGGGGGGGGGGAATCTGGTAAAGAACAGCATGGCCAAAGTTACTCAGGTGAGCGATGTGGCCCATGGGCCTCTTGTTTTTTTTTTTTCAATTACTACAGAAAATATGATAGAACTAGTTCTGAGAGTTATACATAGTACTGCAGATATCCTGTTAATTTATTATCTTTGGAACGAATTAAATTGATAGTGTGGTTAAAGGAAATATTTATTTAAAATGTAATGCACTAGAGAATTTTCTCTACTATCATATATAAAGTCTATAGTTATAGAGAAAAAAATTCTTTCTTCACCGCAACTTTATATGTTTGCCATTCGATATGATTAATACCCCCCCCCCCTTACCCCCTAAATCGGTTACTTAGTCAGTACCGTATTTCCAGAATATTTTAATTAACATTTTTTTTAAAAAGTTACGGGTTTTTTTAGAACAAAAATTTCAGTCTCAAAACAAACATGCATCTAAAAAAGTAAAAAAATAATAGTAGTTCAAAATGTACACGTGTCGGCGGTGGTATTTGAAATTGGCCGAGAGTATGTTTCAAATTCAAGTGTTAATGCCCAATGTATTTTATTAATTTATTATTCAAATTTTGGAATCAAATTTAGAAATGATAAAAATAAATGTTATAACTTGTTCGAAATACTCGCACTTCGTCTTCGATGTGACGAAACTTTCACACCTGCACAGTGTCGAATGATTTTGATTGACAGGACAAGCACGTGGACTTCGTGTAAACTTGAAGCAGGAAAATAAAAACGAGTATGACTGTCAAACAAATGGATCTGATTTGTTGATAAAAAAAAGAAGTTACTTTCACTGTCTGATATATTTAGAAAAAAAAATTTCGGAGTTTTTGTTTGATATAGGTATAAACATTTAGTGAAGCCTGAAAGGAGGGGGGGGGGGCTAAAACTGAATATTACTCTCTCTCTCTCTCTCTCTCATTTGTCTGTTTAATAAAAACTATAACAGCATATTACTTAAATATCAAGTTCTGAAAATTGAATTTATATCAAATAATATGAATATGTATCTTTGTATCATCTTGTCCGAGTATAATCACGACCATCTAGAGATACATGTAGAAGTCTGCTCAATAAATCATCATGAAAAATAGAAATGACACATAATATATTATTGTATTAAATATTTAAAATACGAGCGTATCAATGCAAAACTTCCACTGACCTTTGTAATTAATTTTTTTTTTTTTGCATTACTTTACATGAAATCGCCTTGACACGGAGATATATGTATGAATGGATGTTACGACCGCTTTAATTCATTCTATAAGTCATAAGTTTTCTCTGATTTGTTATCAAATAGGAATAAACATTTTTATTTTCCACCTAAACAAAATATCTTTTATACTTCACCGTTCGGCAACAATTGCAATGTTTTATGCGATAAAAATCGTGTGATTAAAAACTTAATGTGCAAGCATC